ATATATATATATATATATATATATATATATATAAAAGTGAACATAGAAGTCAACACTTAGAGGCGACAGTTTGTTTCATGCTATATGCAATCGTCAGGCAACGTGTGCTGTTATTTTTGTCGGCTATTTATATATATACGGGTCAGTGGTGCATTGTGGGTAGTCTATTATGGCGGTTATTTTACCGGAAGCGTTTATATATTTATTTGGGTTAAATTATTTTGCTTGTTTTTTATTTACTTTTTATTTTTTGTTTCTTATTTTATTTATTTATTTATTTATTCAATCGGTATTTTTATTAACGTAGTAAAAGTTTGTTTATATCACTTATTTAATAGTTTTGTTTTGTTTTGAGAATTTAATTAAGGCTATTTGTTCGGTTTTGGAGTTGATTGTTGTAGTTTATTCTAACTTTTATTTTTGCAGGAACAGTTTTTAATTTGTGTTTATTTGGGTTGATTATCTTTATTTGATTTTTCTAATGGTAACTTTATCGGGATTGGTTTGTTTATTTATTTCCTTGGATGAATTTAGGTCAATTTACTTGTATTTTTTCTCTTTTCGATTTTTAAGTAACTTAGTATTTATTTATTTATTTTTTTTTTTTTTTTTTCGTTATATAACAATTATAGCTATTTTTTCGTCAGATTTTTGGTTTGATTTTTTAGTCTAACTAATATTTTGGTCATAATGGTTTGCTACTTTGTTTATTATTTACTTTATTTATTTGGGTTCGTTGTTTTTTTGTTTTTTGTTATTATTATTATTATTATTATTCTATTTCGTCTATTCTAACAGGTGTGATTTGGTAATTTGTTTGGATAAATTAATTTTGCTTATTTTATTGTTATTTTGTTTACTTGTTTATTTATTTGTTTTTATCTTATTTTTTCCGTTTTCAATTTTTAAGTAACGTAGTAAAAATTTGTTTTCATGTCTGCATTTTGAGATGAGCTCGGATCTTTTATTTAATAATTTATTTTGGTCTGGGAAAGTAATGATAACTATTTTTTCCTCTAAGCAAAGTTTGCAAGATTTTGATTGGTTGTTGTAGGCTGATGATCTTTTCCTTATTTTCCAAGATATTTTTGGTGTCATGTGCATTTTGTTTTTAATTTCCCAGATATACTTAGAAAGCATTGTACTCTTCGCATATTTACTATTTGTGAAAGATGTTTTGTGTGTATAATTTCTTTGTTTCCAGGGTCCTTCAGTTACTCCTATGTATACTTTTTCTTCATTATCTGGTGATTTTATCGTGGCTTGGTATATTACGTTGTTTTGTAAACAATTTCCGTTTAAGGGGCATTCGTTCTTTATCCTGCAGTTGCACGTGGGTTTAATTTGTTCCCGTCGATTGTTGGTAAATTTCCTGTTGTGCTTTTTTATTATTTGTGCCATGTTCTCGGTGCAGCTGTAGCTGATTTTTACTGTGTTTTTGTTGAATATTTTGTGTGGGGTGCTTGATTACGGGAAGTGTTTGTGTAAGAGTTTGAAGAATATTTTTCCTACGTTTGTTTTTACGTTTTTGCTGTACGGTGGGTTGAACCATATGATATTTCTTCTCCTGTTGGTCTTTTTGTGTTCTGTGGTGAGTATGTGAGTGTTGCTGGGAATCCGCTATCTTTTAGGGCTGTTTCATAGTCTTTCTTAGCTTTGTTAAATATGGATTCATTGGAGGAATTATCAGAAAGCCTGCAGTTAATCGATTTTGGTATCTGTTTGATTATAGAAGGCGGGTGGTTGGAAGATGTGTGTATGTAGAGTGGTTTATCATTAGGTTTTCTATATGGTTTATATGTGCCTTTTCTTAGGTTGAAGGTAAAAATCTAGAAAATCTACTTCGTTTAGGTTAGTTTTATATCTATATCAAATTCGTTATTTTTAAAAATCTTTATTATTGCTTTTCTAGTTTTGTCTGTGTTTTGTTTGTTACAGTTTCTTACGATTATGAGACCGTCGTCCCTGTAGAGTCCTGTGTCATTTCTATCTATTATTTTGCTCAATTCTATGATTTCGCATGTGTCTGCACCGTCAAAGCTTCCCATTGTAGTGTCAAATATCCCATCTTTCTTTATCCATGCTTCTTCATTGTGGAATAATAATGATTTACGGGAGTGCTTAATGATGTTGATTTCGCTTGGTTTTATTATTATTTGTTCCTGAGCTAAGTTGATGGCCTTATCTAACATGCGTTCTGTTATGGATGGGTAAAAAAAATTATAAGTGTTGTCACATTAAAACAGCATGATTTGTTGTGATTAACAAACTATTTAACATGTTCAATACAATACCGAACCCAATAAGCAACGATTCTAAACATAATTCGACACATTTCTACATTAATTTCAGAAAATTCATCAGGACCTTCTTGCTTGAATTCAGGAATCTTTTGAACCTCTAAACAAGATCTCTTAGCGCTGGTGATTCTGAAGCCCACACAGGCGCCGTTCTATCGACCTCAACTCGAAAGAAAAACGCGTTACTTTTTACACAACCA